TATATGTACATACACATATGCATGTATGTATTTATGTAAAACGTATACCAGTTTAATTTTCAGCGTATTGTCAGACTAACGGAGCGAAGGTTTTGAGTTCTTATCGCTTGAAATTTCAACCGCGCACTGAATGTTCACAGCTCTTTTAAATAAGATAAACGCTCTGTCTTACGATCTTCAGATTACAGATTCCTTAGTACCAAAGCTAACTACTTTGATTAATTCACTTGCTTTGAAAATTGCTCTTATGCTCGCATTCTCGTGATTTATACTTTTAGAATGAGTGCAGGCGTATGTGTATGCATGTGAATGGCCAGTTGGAAAATCCGTAAGCACACACACACCGAGAAAAGCGTTTAGTTACGTCAATTAAATATATTCTGCTCAACCATGATTTAATTTCAGTTACATTTGAGGGATTCACAATGGTGCCGTAAGTGTCGTATTGTTGTAGAGAATATGAAACCACAACCAACTATTGTTTAACACTGCGAAAATTCATAATATGACTTCGATGGTACATACTTTGTGAACCCCTTAATATATTCTTTAGGCGTTTAAGGTTTACGGCATACAATACGACACTTACCACACCATTGCGAATACTCCAATTATTTGGTTAAAGCTGCCAAATCACGTGTTGAGAGAAATATGTTTGGTTGACTTTTTTTTTGGATGCAATTTAAAGCCTAACTTGATATAAACGCACTCCGTTTGTAAACGAACGCCGCCTAATTTGTTTTTTCTGGCATACCCGAAATTGGCTTGTGTGCCTTTGAATTTGATTTCAATGAGTGAAACGTCAAATCCAAATCTCACGCAGAAAAAAAAAAATGTAAATTGAGTTAGCTTTTGACGCACGCCGTTCAATTTCGGTTGGTCCCATACTACATACATACATAGTTGAATGTGCATGAGAATTTTTTTACAGTAGAAAGGACAACCGGGTGAGGAGTAAGTTACGTCCGTCTAATTCCCACTGGTTGAGTAAGTAAGTATATATGTATCTTATTACATTAAACGAGCAATTCTTGTCAATATATATATCCATAGGGTTCTCGGAAACGGCTCTAACGATTTTGATGAAATTATGTACGCAGATAATGTTTTGGATTTTAAGGTTGTATGAATAGGCAATATCTCCAAGAAGACTCATATAAGGTTGCCACCTATTCGAAATTAGTTACAAATTAATTAAAACATCAGAATATGCGTATCAACTGGAAGGTATTTTAAAGATTCCTTATTCAAAAAATATTTTCAATAAGGTTGCCACCTATTTTGAATCGCATATTTATTAAACTTTTTGTTTAGGAAAAAATATAAAATATTACTATACAAAAATAAAATAAAATATTATTACCAAGAGATGTTTCTTAAACAATGCTTTCCCTATACACAAAATGTTATGTCTTAGGATAATAGTGTAAGGTTGCCGCTTATTTTCGATTCTACACAATTTATCCAAAACATCGCAATATGGATATCAAACGAGAGATATTGTTGAGAACTTTGGTTAGAAAATATTTTCCATTAGGGTTGCCACGCTTCCTTGTAATACAAATTTTTTACTTTGTTAATCTCAATCAACATTTTTTTATGTATACATACATAGTACACATGCGCTCAATATATGTACCATTCATTCCAGCGTATTTCGGAATAGGGTTGCCACCTAAATTTTAGAGTAAGGAAATTACTTAATAGATATTTTTTTAAAGCTATCCAAATCTTGAAAACTTTAAAAAGTATATGCACTCCGGGCAAAGCTCGGTCAACCTGGTACTAAACACATTATGCTTCAAGATTTACAGGAGTTAAGAAAATATATGTGCGACTATTTCTTTTTTTGACTCCCACCTCGAAATTTTGTTTGAAATACCTAAAAGCAAGTTCCCTGAAAATGTGAGCCCTTATATTAATATTAATATTAATATTACCAGCGAGATCGTACGGGTCACTAAACCCGTAAATAACTACAAGTAGGGATGCGCCGGATAGAGATTTTTATCCATACTTACGGTGACCATAAATATGGATTCAAAATGAAGGACAATTTTTCAAAAATATGCCTACATATATTTAGGTAGTATAAAAATATTAAAAGAGTATTTATGATTCTAAATTCTTATTGCATTTTAGACTTTAAAAATGAATAACGTTTTCTTCATCGATATTAATCTTTTTTTACGTGAATATTTATAAAAGTATAGTAAAACATATTATAATTGCAATAGCGAAAAGTGAAAATCTTTAAAAGATTATTTTATATGCAAATTTGGAGTCGTTCAAAACGAAAACAATACCCTTCTTTTTTTGTTTTTTTGTACTTTTCGAAGTTATATGTCAAAAATCGACGTAAACGACGAGTTACAAAGTGCCATTTACAAAAATATTCAATTTGTGCAGACTGTAATGATATATTTTCTTTATCGAATTTTAAAATAATGAAAAAAAATAATCAAATGAAACTGCGTATTTGATTGAAAATCTCACTTTTTTCGACTTTGACGACAAAATGCAAATGGTCGCCTGTAGCACTAATAATTTTCATTGAAGTCGCTACAAGTTGTATATTTTGGTAAGAGGCACATGAATACCCTTCGAGTTGTAAGTCGCTACGTTGATTGGGAGATTTTTTCATGAGATATGGAAGAAAAGCTACGAAAAGTACCAAAAAACACTTTTTTAAAAAAATCCATCAATTGTCCGATAATTTTAAAATAACGATAAAATGCGGGACAAATGCAGGACACTTGGAAAAAATCAGTACATTTTGAGGTTTTTCAGGTTTGAAAAACAACGCAGGACCGACATTTGAAAAACAGTACGGTCCTGCAAAAAACAGAACGGATGGTCACCGTATGCATACTTCGCATAACTTCGCATAAACTTTAAACTGTAATGTCGTTCTGTTGAGTTTAAATTTTGCCTCACATTTCCCTAAGTTAGATTTTTATTGCACTGGTACAAATGGTTGTGCGAAGTTATGCGAAGTATGCACAATCAGACCTTAAGTTGCCATAAATATGAATGCGTTGCCCTCATCATACTCATACTATCCCCACCAAGTTTGGCCTACAGCTCAACGGAGTTTGATCTACAATATTCATTGGATGAGTGCAATAATGTGAATGATTTTAGTTTGCAATAAGAACTATGAACATTTAACGCCGCTTCTTATCATCTTTATAAATGTAAACACTTTTGATGGAATGCGAAAAAATTACTTGAGTACATATGGTCGTTTAAAGTACAAAACCGCGTATCAACAAAATGCAAAACCGCGTATGTGAAATTGCATAAATTATTTTCTAGAGTATTGAGCCAAGAGCTTGTGTGAGCAAATCCAATTTTGGCCGCAAATGTCAGTTACGCGGTTTTGCAGAATGACGATACGCGGTTTTGTACTTTAAACGACGATATACACTACTAGTACTTATGTATATGTATGTATGCACTATCCAGTTGTAAAATCCACTAATAATTTTACTGGTTTTTACTGGATGGCCTTTTCATACGCAAAAACTTGCAAGAAACTAGCAAAAGGGGGGAAATTGGGAAGGGCAAAAATTACAGCTGAACTTGCAAGTTTGTCTGGATTTTTACTGGATACATTTTTACTAGTAACTATTTGCGAGTAAGAAGAACAGCTGATGGTATGATGCTTAATGCAGTTCACATTAACAAAAGAATTGTTTGTGGTGATTTTAGGCCGGGGCCACGCAATGAGCGGCGAGCGGCTGAGCGGCATAAAACAGAGAGCCAATTTACACGACGGCTTTTCGCCCTGCGTTTTTTTCACGTTCCTTTTTAAAAAAAGTCTTCTAAACTCCTCGTGTATTTACACGATGACTTTTTCTTTGCGGCATCTCTTTGACATTTAAGCGTCAAATTTTCTTTAGTCAACTCCTTCGTCCTCAGTTTTAAAGCGAATCGAATCGTGAACTCAAAGTAAAAAGACGAAAAATTGAATTCCATAAAAGCGAAACGTCAAAGAACCCCTCGATTTCCCTGCACTTCTTGCCTTGTGTAAATTGGCTGTAAAACATATGAAATACTATTGAAGTGGCCACGCATTTCGGCGGCGCCATACAGGAATGCCGCTTGCGTGGCGTCGACAGGTAGTTGAAAACATTATTTTTGGGGTATTATGACACTCTGCAGCAAAGGTACGATATGTAGAATGTATAATACAAATAAAAATAAAATCATAATAATACTTACCGATATTTTCGACGGCTGCTACTATATTCTTCATCGTCGCTTTCGTCTTCATCCTTCTGGTTTATTGATGAACTACTCCTTTCTGGTACAGTTAGGGTAACAGAACCGCAACTATCATCGTTTATCTATGAGAAAATACGTAGTCATTAATAACTCCGCGGCTTCCTTATTTGAGTATCTGTCTAAGGAGTGTTAAATTAAATGGCTATGTCCGAAAATTCGTGTTCGTACGAATTGCTAATTTCAAATTTGTTTTTTTTTTTTCGATTCACACGAAAGCAGGAATACGCTCCAGTAAATAAAAAATGCTCAGGCCGAATAAAACTTTCTTTTTTTGCTGCTTATTTCTGAGTACTTAAAGTGTGAATGTAAGATAAATAAATTTTTTGGAATATGGCACACTTTTATTATACGTTCGTTTTCCCCTCCTCTACAATCGCATACAAAATAATGCAAGTACCTGCCTGCAAACTACTATCTACTCGTTCACTAGATGATTTGCCACTGTCCCAAATTGATGTAGTATTTATTGTGGTGCCAGATTTCGAAGGTAGGTTATTGTAGCCGCCGCCGCCTTTGATATTGCGGATATTCAATATTTTCGAATTGTCTGCCATTTGTGTGTATTTACTATGAATACATACTATGCGCTTATTTACGTATGTATTTGTATGTAACTCAATTAGTTCACTTTTAAATAAAAATTGTTTTAATTAAATTAAATTAGCCAGAAGAGGCAGCAATATTCTCGATCCGTCGCTGTTAATAAACTGATGTCGAAATTAAAAGTGAACTCCACCAAGCCAGTGACTTTGTTTAATTGCAATATTTGTATATTTTAGTTAATAGGCAGGAATTATTGGAGCGCAAATGTGAGCGAACGAGAAAGCACAATTAAAGATGGAATGTTGTGAAAATTGTCAGCTAAATGTAGTGTACTTATATTTACTTATATATACTTAGATATTATATATTAATACATATATATAACTAATATTTACTTTAGGTTTGATTTAAAAAATATATATATATGTATATATATCTATATATTAGTTATTAGCTGCCCACCAAAAACTTTTCCTTTTCTGGTAAGCCAAGCTCAGGTTCCGACTAAAATCAAAAAAAGAAAGAAAAAGTTGTTTCTAATAGCGGTCGACTATCGGTAGGCAATGGCAAACCTCCGAGTGTATTTCTGCAATGAAAAACAGCTCCTCATAAAAATACAATCGCCGTTCGGAGTCGGCATAAAACTGTAGGTCCCTCCCATTTGTGTGACAACATTAAGGCGCAATGCACAAATCGGAGGAGAAACTCGGCCAAAAACCACCTTATTGTGTAAGCGCCAATCTATTATTATTAAAGTACTTAGTAGATTTATAAATAATAAACGGTTCCTGGAAACGAAAAATAATCTGTTATTTTTTATTTTAGGAATTGACAATGTAATGAAATGCTTCCTAATTTTCGAGAATTTTTGTAAAATTTTCAAGATGCTCTCCGGGACTTTTCAAGATTTTTGTGTCTTACCTTTCCCTTATATTTTTCGGGATCTTTTGAAATTTGTTAGGGCTTTTCAGGGTTTCGAGACTATTGAAGTATTTGTGGGACTTTTCAGGACTATTTCGGGAGTTTCCATGATTACTTTTCTATGTGAAACGTCGTTTCACCCTTTCTCACGTGTGAACTTGAGCGGATTGAAGGATAATCACAAAACCTCCGTAACCGTGCGTGAATGAAATTTTTTGTTGCGTAAACGTGCGTTAGATTTCAATCACACAATATATACTCTTATGAGCATTTTTAACCAAAACAATCTCGTAAATTTACTGTTTAATTTTGAACTAAAGTTTGAGTGAAAATATTATTTGCCTGGGGAGTTACTTTCTAGACATTGTGTAATGCGGCAAGGGCATTTATTTTTTTCCATTCATATTGAAGGCATTCTCTGATATTCATGCAATTGTTGCATATCGGTATTTTGTTACGCTAAACTTAGTATTTTATGAAAATATGTAAATACATTTACTTAAAGTATTTAGCACACTTCGACGCCTGCAAACTATACCATGCTAAGTCACCTTAGACTTAGTCAGACGTAGCATAGTATGGTTTGGAGGCCTCGACTTAATGGACGTAAATATACCTATTAAATTCGGTATTTAATACCTAAATGCTTTGAACTTAATATTTACTAAATAAAATTTTGCCGTTCAACTGTTTGACTAAAATATTAAACAGAATACATATTTCCAATTTTTCTACAAAAAACTAAACGTTCCAGCAGCTGTTGACAAAACTTGAAAAAAAGCTATCCCATAAAAAAGGCAATTCAGTACCCACGTTCCTAGTGGGTATATGTACTATGTATGGAATCGCGACTGTGTAGGTAAAAGTGGCGATCTATACCAAAATTTGGGGCATATTTTTAGGCTAACACGCTAAAGAACGGTAGAACCAATTCATGATAAACGTTAGCATATAAGTATATCATCGTCCTATTTTATTGCACCTTAGTGGAGGAAATACGCATTTTTTCTTACATATTCTACAGACTGATATCTACAGACGATATGAGGCTAAAGTATAAATGGAACGATTTGTATAAAAAAGTAGGTAAATATATTTTTAACCTTCTGAGTAAATTTTGCTTTATTGAAATCTGCGTTCTTGGTTTTGCTTTATGCAGCATCGGACACAAATTGAATGCTAAAACGAATAATTTGTATGCAAACTTTGTAGTCGTAAACATGTACATAAGTAGGTACATATGTATGTATGTGTGTCAATAATCACGATAATTTGCAGCTTTTTTTTTTTTTTGGGTACAAGTACGTATGTATTTATGTACATACCCTGCAAAAAATGCGACTAATCCGGGATGACCCCGGGAGCAATGGCAAAAGAACATGCGACTAATACCACTTTTGATCCCGTTATATCTGAATGAACTGTTCCCGAACGGATATAAAAAGGACTAGTCACTTTTAAAAAATAAAAATAAAAATTTGCTTCAACACCAATTCGAACCGAGGTTCTCAGTTTTGTTAAGCGAATACTGTCTCTCTGTGTCAACGCCGCAGATAAAACTTTATTGAGTTAGTGCGTACATACATACATATATGTATATCGTCGGTGATACTGCAAAACGTTCTATGTCACTTATTACCTCTGGTGTTTAATTGATCTGTTATCTGTATCTGATCGCTTCGGGTAACCGTCCATCTTCATCAGCCAAAAAGGTAGACAGTTTTGTCATTCGTCGATTAAGGCGTAACGATTTACAGATGCATTCCGGTGCATCCGGACCATCTAAGTGTCGTTAATAGTACCCAATAGAGCTGAGTCGGGGACTAATTGATCTTCAATTATACCCGTAAGGGATGAGTCGGGGACTAATTGATCTCCCATATGAGACATGTTGCGACTAATTAATGCCCAATTGTACCCCATTGAAAGTAATCTCGGAATACTCTCCTTAGAGATTAGTCGCACAATTTTTTGCGGGGTACATATGTATGTCTGTATGTACATATGTTTGCATATGTATTTATTTTTATTTTCCGGCTTATGGCTATTTCAAGCGTTAACACGAATCCGCCAATTGTTAAGTAAATTGTCAAAAGCAAAAATAATGATGTCAAACTGGGTTTAATAAAGGTCTCATCATGGCATCTAAATATATATGTATTAGGGTGCCCATCGAAAATGCCTTTTTTTTTGGGAAATTTCAAGACTCTACCTCCTAATTTTGTTCGTTTTTATGAGAAATATTATCGCCTATTTTTATGGATTTTTTAAAGGTCATTTGGAGGTCGCGACATGTTGATTTAAGTCAGAAAATAGGATTTTGTAGATTTGAGTTTTTGAGTGATTATTTTTCATTAGATTTCAAAGATCCAATATGATCTGAGAGGAGGATATATACATAGGCCTTTAAAATGGTATATGCTAATCTATTGTCGGACTAGGCCTGTTGGGATTTTCTATCAGGCAAATTAAAAAAATACCCATATTTCTCCTAATTTTGTAAAATTTGACCATCGATAATTTCTACAATTGCAAAATATGGAGTACTATATAAAATTAAATCTATTTCTAAATAAACTGATACCTTATTTATTGCAATCGCATAAAAATTGTCGAATTTAGGCGACTTTTCTTAAATACGGACTTGAATTTATGTGTGTATGTACAGGAATTTCCAATTTTTTTTTTTTGGCAGTGTGGCTAAGGAATTCATAACAATTTTTTAAAAATTCATATATGCAATCGCAATTTAGCAAAAATGTGTTTTTTCAAGAAATTTTAGGAAAATGGGGGGGAGGGCACCGCCCACTTATATGATATATGCGTATCTCAAAAACTACTTGACCGATCTCGACCAAATTACGGGGTAGGGTCTTGAAATTTCCAAAAAAAAAAGCATTTTCGATGGGCACCCTAATATGTATATACATGTACATACATACATAGGTGCAAAAATATCGTTACCTTAATATGGAAAGCCCTTTTCTAGTATCCCATTGTGCACAAAGCAAAAATTTTTCCAATTTTTTCCTCAAGGGGATATACAAACTTTTCCGAAAAATTCTATCTAAGGTTTGAATAAAAGGTGTGTAAATTTTGACTTCAAATTGATATCCAATATTTTCTCAAGTGGAAAAATCAGACTGTTTTGCATACAAAAAGTGTGCCGTTTTGATTGGGAATGCATTGGGTCTCCAATTGAGGCGTTTTTGAGAAATAGCATTCCGAACTTCAATCGCGATTTCCCACAACCGGCCGAAATTAACATAACACAGTCTTTTACCCAGGCGACGACTTGTAAAAGTCGAGTTTTATTATTTTCATATGTATTTACCTACGAATGTACATATGTACATATGTATGTAGGTATAAATTTAATTACTCTTTAATGTTTTGTGTGAGTTTATAAGCAATAAATTTTGTTTAATTACAAATTGACAACCTTTTGAAGCTTTAATACTTTGCTTTTACTTTTTATGCGGGCAGTTAAGAAATAAAAATGTCTATATATATACATACATACATACATACATATATTTATTATTGCTTATTTTGTGTTCTTTTTCACCTGATGTCAGACACAGACGTCATTTTTTACGATCAACAGTGATTACAGAGGCTTCATAACCTGTTGTACATACATACATACACAGTAAATATGTATGTCTGTATCAATGTATGTACATATTTATGTAGTTTTGCTTATTTAAGTTAGCGTGAAATGCAACATCCTCACTCTGAAGAAAGCCATATCAGAAACCAAACAATATTGATAAAAATACAAAAAAAAAAAATAAATAAAAAAGCGCACAGTGAATTATATATATGTACTAGTATCGCCCAGTCGTCGAAATTCGAAATTTTTTTTCATACACTTTTGAATTTTGCTTGTCACCAAGATTGACTTTTTTATGCGAATGACGATTTCGAAGTCCACCACCAAAAGTTAGCGAATTTACAAAGAAATTTAAACCCAAATAGACCGAGAAAGGAACCTGGATTGTAGATGAGATGCCCGCTGACTAATATGTTAAACATATACATACCAATTCAGACTGTAAATACGTTTTTCGATTATATTGGTCTGAGAGCCTCTTGGAAGGTTAAAAACTAAATTGCCAACATCTACATAAACTCCGCTTTCGTTTCATCAGAATCGGTAAAGGTTAAGAAAATACCTCGAAAGGTGTACAACAAAATATAATATTTCACACGGTGTTTCATCAAGATTGGGCCAAAGCTCAGGTGTATCAAATTCCATTACCTTATCGCAGGTGGTTGCACAGATAAGCGATGTGAAAAGTTCAGTTTGTATGGGAGGTTCGACGCCCCCTTTCCCATTATTTACCACCTTTCGCCTTAAGGTCGTTATTGATAGCATAAATAGCTGTGCCAAATCTCAGACTGTTAGAATAAGCGGTTCCAGGGATACGCGATATGAGAAGCTCAGTTTGTATGGGAGGTTCCACAACCTGCCATTTTTCGGCACAAGTAGAGTATTTACAATTTATCCATCCGTGCTAAATTTCAGTTCCCCATCGGAATTGGTTCTAGAGATATACACCACATTTTCACATTTTAGTCTGGGGGTTAACATTTCTGGATTAGAGGTAGTTATATTCTTTAAATCGGTGTATGTTTCATTGAAATCGAACAAACGGTGTCCTCAAAAAAGGGAGTTCAAAATTTTCTTGTGGCGTATTTACATATATAGAAGAAGATATTGACATTAACGTTATCGGCTAAGGAGTGATTTCAAAAGTTTAACAAATGTACCGGTAAAAATACTATATATGAATGTATGTATGTACTAACTTACTGTAACTGTGGCGTTGCGTTGGCGCTGGAATCACTTTGGTAATGTGGAGACTTTCATATAAATGCATGCCCAACAAACATTTAGGTTTCAGCTCAACTTAAGGTTAAGTTTAGAACTAAGGTATTTCTCAAATATCCAACGTTGTTTTTCAACAGTACCTCAAGTGGAGGATCATAGCCTTCTCAACAAAAGGGGCATTTTTCTTTGTATGAAAAAAGGACTGTTTATCAAGTTGAGAAAATGCTAGTTCTCAACTTGAACTCCAATGTAATTCTACAGTTGGTCTCAAACATATCATTTAAATAGTAAAGTACATTATACCTTTTTGATTGAGACGACATACATAGATGAATTTAAAAATTAATCTTTCATTTTATTACTCCTTTTGTATTATGTAGTTAATCAATATCGTATTATAATAATTTACTTCACAGTATACAGTCCGACAGTAATTTTATTTTCTTTCAAGATTTTTTGAGGATACTTTGAAGATTATTTACTTTTTATTGGGAATTTTCCTCTTTATATAGCTTTCATTTTTTACTGTACTGTGCAACCTCAGAAAATTCGAAAACCTTCCTTAAAAACGATGTGAGAAATTTGCACTTTTTATGTGTTATTGGGACGAAAATGAACAGCAAAGCAAAACAAAATAATCGGAAGATGCCAGTTAATTTTTTTTTTATTATTTAAAATTAGTTTGAAAGACATGTGCATTTTTCTTAATAATAGATTTCGGGACCCACGGGACCCGCGTTACAATTCTGAAAAAAGTCGGGATGGGCGGGTTCGGGCCTTAAAAATTGAATTTCGGGATGTGCGGGATCGGGACTAAATATTTAGTCCCGTACCCATCTTTAGTTTCTACCAAAAAATGTCGCCTTTTGATTGCCCCTTTCTCTTTTTGTGTTCGATTCTAAATTAAAGGCAAACATGCCTTTTTACAGGGCTGAGTGTAATATCAAACACATTTTGCACCGGGGTAGGGCAACATTTTTTGGAAGAAACGAAATCACCATAAATGAAAAAAGCTACCATAGGCGGATTCGTCGTTCTATTTAGTTCTAAACTAAAACGATGAATCCACCTTAATAAGGCATGGTATCGATTTGTACTTACACTTTCGCCATGGCTGTCGCTCTTTTCCTCTTCGCTGAGAGCTTCTTGTTCCTGCATTTGGTATTTTAGGCGCAAAGCTTCGAGATCAACAGCATCGATGCCCATCGGCAATGATATAGAATTCCGCCGCAAGCTTCTACTCATTGGCTCGGCAGTAGCTAAAATTTCAGGAGACTCTGTGCAACTTTCGTCGCCGCCGCCGACGAAGCCGTCGCCACTTTGAAGCCGCGAAAGTTCCGTGCATTTAGCCTCAAAATGATTATCCTTTTCATCCACCTGTACAACGATGGTTAAATGGACATTGCGTTTCTCTGCGTTTGAGGGCCCCTGCCCATCAATGTCTTCCAACAATTGCTCTTTGCTTGCATTGCCACTGGTGGTGGTCGGCGCTACGCTGATACTGGAGCTGCTGCTGGCATCATTGAGTCTGTCCATATAAGGGATACTACTTTCACTTTCTGTGCTTGATCGCCTCGCCGTCTGGCCATTTGTTAACAGGGATTGTCCTTGTTCCTCGTTACTCTTGCGCTGTTGCCATTTATCTTGTTCTCTTGATTTATCACTCATTTTAAAAGCTAGTCGACTTGCTCAGTTAAGTGTTAAGCTCGGAACACTTTGACGACTGCAACTTCACGACGTAACGACAGCGACATCATTTTGTCGACAAATGTCGCCTTGAAGCCAGCTTCTTAAACATTTTGAAGACCTCAGCGACATAGCAAACAGCTGGTTTTAAAGTTTGACATTTTGGTATATTTATTTCACAAATTGTGTATTTTTATTTAAGTAAATAAGAAAAACATGAACAATCAAGAATATGTGATGAATTTTGCGACAATTTAATTTTGCAGCACTACATCTACTCATTGTCGCCGGCAAAATTAGAAATAGATTTAATTTGGCGACGTCGACAATTGCAGTCCTGCAGCCAAGATGTCGTGCTGTCGTCAAAATAATTGTGTCCGTAAGAACGTGTGTATTTAAAATTTGACAGATGCTGCTTGTCGCTTGCTGTCGTCAAAGTGTTCCGAGCTTTAAGCGTAACTAATGCAATTTCATGCTGTAGAATGCATAGCCATGTGTCAACGCTTTCATTAAAAATTCATTAACTACATACATATGTACATATATTTATGCATAGTACATAAACATGCCATATTTACATATGTATGTAGATATGTATGTACTCGTGTGTAGTAAGTACATATTCGTGGGCGTAGCCAGGTAGGGGCAGGGGGGTGCTCGAGCCCCCCCTAACTTTCAAATTTTCCTTATATATATATATATAAAATAGTACCCTGAAATGCCAGCTTAATAGGGTCGAACCGAATCTGTTTTATGTTATTGTTTACGAACATTCGTTTAGCTCGACAAATAAATAATAGTCATCCCTGGAAATTGGGAAATAGTCGAGAATCCAAGGATAATCGTTAACAGTAGCAATCCTCGTCGGTTGTCTTTAATCCTTGTCGAATCCATGTCTAATCTTTTGTACTTGCTTTAGCAATCCTTACTGCTTACTTTAGTAAGGAAAGGAAATGGATTCGACCGTGATTAGAAACAAGAGCCACTAACGAATAGTAACAGTTTTTGTTTTTTGAATTCCGAATTGTGTCGCTACTGTCTTTGTAATGTATCAAAATTTGTGCTACGCAGAAAAATTAAGTATCTCGCAACATGAGCGAAAAAAATAAAGTATTGCCCCGTTTTTATTCAGTTGATTTCAAGAATTAAAAAATTATAATGGACTGAAGTGTTGCTTGATATTCTCAAATAATAAATATCTGCGCTGGTCGTTTTAATTTTTTTTTAAATATTCGTTAATCCTCATTTGAGATAAATTATTTTTAATCTCTTCAATAACACAAATACCTTCCCGTAGAGACAAACCTTTGGGTTTAAATTTTTTTACCCAAGCACAAATACAATTGAGGTTACGGGTTAATAAAATCCAATTCTGTTTTAAGCTTGGAGACCCTTGAATAAGCAAAATAAGAAGTTCCAAGCCAAAGCTTCAACTTTTCGGCCCTGATAATCACCAATACCTAAATTTTCGACGTTTCGCAAAGTTGTACTATTATTTTACATTTGATATACATTCGTTCAATTATTTTCGCGCTAAAGTGGCAGCTGTCACTTAAATTATTGCGTTCTTTATGTTTTCGTCATCAAAATATTGGCCAATGTAATTTCAGTTTTTGAAAAATAATTATTTCCGCGGTATTCTGGTTATGTGTGCGCACGGTGTAGAATTCGAAAACACTGTGAGTTGTTGCGGTCACTTGAATCAACGCTAGAAGCGCTCAGCTGGTAGCGGAGCGATTGTGAGCAGATTCTCAACGCCCGGCTTTTCACCAGCACACAACTGCAAATATGTACATATGTACGTATGTACATTAGACTGCGCCTTATTTTGCAACTCAGTGGGAAATTTAATATATTTTAATGGCACTTGATGTAGTTTTGTCCCCCGTTGTCAAAAATGGCTACACTGTTTTTAAACCTCTCCAACTTTTAAAGTTATTCAGGTCTTTCCTACGTAAAATTACCATTTCAGAAGTCAAATTTCACGTAGCATATTCAAATGCTAAAGTTGAGGGAATTTGATTCTTCATAACTTTTTTACGAACTTTATTTTTGTGCGACGCTTAGATCACGACCGGGAACTTACTTCATCTCCGCATCACGTCAACCGGTACAGTACGATGGCCATTGTGCCGATACGATTAAGGTCTTAAAATTATCGCATAGATGTCGCCCATTGAAAACAATGACCTTTTGAAAAATTCAATATGGCATCTAGGCTAACCGGAAAATCGATTTTGCTTTACAACTTTTGTGCCACCAGAGAATCCAACGAGATAATTCTCTACAACTTTGGCATTTAAATATGCTAAAAATGAAAAATGGCGAAAACTGTGACAATGTAAAAATTTTTATCACTTTTTGATAATTATTTGCAATAACAAATGATTTTATTCAAAAGGCTAATATAAAAAAAAATGTGCGAAATTAAATTCTCCACAAATTTATATATAATCGTTTTTTACGAAAAATGCAAAGTAAGCTTGCAAATCTTAAGAAACCCAAAACAAACCTAAATTCCAAGATGGCGAAATATTCCCATATGAAAGTTAGGGGCAAGACTGTAGATTCATGGTCTACGTGTAAAATAAAAGTAAACTGCATTAAAAGTTCCAATTGTACAAATTTTTTCGCAGGGTACACTTATATGACAAAAAAGGAACATGGTTAGGGAGAGTCTTGCTTTCTAGCTTAAACAAATTTTTCTCCATACAACTAAGGCGCAGTCTAATGTACATACATACATAAAAATAAACACTTGAGCTCAGCACGAAAATTTGCGATAAAAGCTCAACTCGTATAACCCGCGCACAAGTGCCGGCATTGGCGATTCACCGAGTACATATAAACATGTGTGAAACCATGTATTTATGTATGTACACGTGTATGCTTGTATATAAAACTTCTTGTCAACTTGTAAATTAGGCAGGCGTGAAGATATCCATCCACCTCCTCATTTTGCAATATGAGTACATATTTATTGTGTTTGACAAAAATCTTTGGCAATGGATTCACTATTTGCTAATTATTAGCGAGCGTTCGCGTCAAAGCTGGTGCATACATCTGTATTTGTGTGTACATGTACATGTACATATGTATTTACATAGGTACGAATTTCACGGATCGCTGATAATTGGCCCACTAAAGATTCTTTCGAGATAATATATTTGTTGCCCCTTTCCGCTACTCTCTCTTATCTTAGCGTTAAAGCCGCTCGATAATGTTTATAGCAGCAACACATGACTGCATTCGTAATCATGATTTACGAACATCACTGAAATACTTGGCGATATTTTTGGAAGAGTTTGCTTAGGTCGCTGTGTATATGTGTACCTACATACATACATATGTATGAAAGAACGTTGAGCTTCTGCTATATTACGCATACGCCTGGTATACCCCAGCTGAACGTGCATGGGCGCGGTGATCTGTACATACATACATATCGTCGGTTAAAGTACAAAACCGCGTAACATCAGCTGTTGGCTCAATCCTTATCCATTCGTCCTGAAATATACTAGCCAGATATGCGATTGCTTTATAAAAAAAACGCAACCATTTTGAAATATGAGTGCTTTTACTCTCCAGAAAATAATTTATGCAACCTCACATACGCGGTTTTGTACTTTAAACGACGATATGTGCGTAAAGCAAGTAATTGTAGGTACTTAAAAAATATTATTCCGATGAATTGATAACCTTCCTCCTTTTTTTTGAAAGTAGGTTAATAAGTAGCTTTGAAAGCAATACTTACCGTTATTGACTTTACTTTAGGACATTTTTTCTTTTCAGGATTATAACTACGACAAACCTAAATCGGAGTAAATGAAGTGAAAAATCGTAGCAAAATTAAATTCTGTAGTCGATTTTTATATGCCGGAATCCCGAACACTTTTCTACTCCCCGAAATCCCGGGATTACAGCTCCGGGATCCCGAGATTTTTACTGATTTAATTGCATAATCAGGCAAGTTCTAGATTATTCGGGGTGAAAGTGAAGTTGAAAACGATCAAATGAATTTACATGCATTTGACATGAAAAATGAGTAGTACAGGACACAAAAATTTGGATCGAAGGGAACTTGAGACATTACACTCGGATGTGAATTTAAGAGCCCGGTATAACTTTACTTGCTCAAACATTTTGTGAAAGAACTGTGAAAGAACGAGAAAAATCTGGTAGCAATTGAAAGCACAAGAAGCTATTAGGGAGCGGAAGAGTGGCCCTGCATTTTACTTAGTTGGCGTGGTTTTGTGGTTTGAATTACTGCAAACATGATTAACTGTTTTTTATTAAGATGCATTATGCTCCGCATTAGACCAAATGTGGCGACAATGAATCTGTGCGGTTAAATTTTTTTGATTTTTGAGGTCTGTGAGCCTACTGTAAAATGCAATCATTATGATAAAGTCGAAATCCTGAAAAATCTCGTATAACATGGGATAACACTTTTTCGCATCCCGAATTCCCCGGATTGTTAAAATGCTTCGTGATTGAATGACATAATACATACATATGCATGTATGTATGTATATAAATATGTATTGCTCGTTTTTTGGAAGAAATTCATAATCCAAATATATGTACAGTCAATCAATAAAATTTAGGTACAGCAAGTTTTTTTTGCAATACGGACAACTGTTTTTTAAATATTTTACTTTTTACTCAATTTTTCCAAAATTAAAGAAAATTCTGCACATTTTTATTAAAATATTGCACTTTTTAATTGGACTCTTTACAAAAAAATGAGTATGCAGTCTTCTAGCCCGTTCAATTGTCGTAAAGTGCAAGTCTGAGGTAGTTCGGACTTACCATTGTCGATTCATGTGTCATTTTCTCCATATAAAATATTATCATAATGCGATCTTAGTAAAGTTCTAATCCTGATTACGTATTATCTAGGCACCGTTATACGGCAGTCGCATTTCTGACTAACTAGTTCCGAATTAATCAGAAAGTGGTATTGTACAACTAATTGCTTCTTCGAACTATGGCGAAATGTTATTGCAGTTTT